ATTTAGTGATTTTTTGTGAAAATGCTCCCAAAAGATGCTTTGCATGAGCTTTTACTGCTAGAGACAGAAAACACTTATGAAGATATTTAAAGCTCCTGTGTATAGGTAGTCCAGAGCCAGTAGTATGTCTTGTGTTATAGCATAAAGGGTCGTGTGGGCATGTAATTGCCAGTTAATACTTCATATTGTTAATATATCATTAAAAATAGTTGAATATATTCCATATTATGTTTGTGATGTTGTTTATTAATGGAAATAATAGGGAATAGTAGAACTGTGGTGACGAATGTACATATCATTCTCACTGAGATAATCCATGTCCTGAAATCGAATTGTAGCAAAGCTAACAAAAAATAGTCAGTGCTAATAATAGTACTTGCCATTCTCCTGAAACCAATTCATGTCCTGATTAGCATAGCATTAACAACGGAAATGGAGATAGTAATAGAACATAGCAGCACCCATTTCTACTGATCGTGATTCACATCCTGTAGTTCGAACAGTGCCATTAATGAAATAGACAACAGCATCAGCAACACATTACACATACGCGTTGTCCTTTTTTCAAATACAAATAGAAAACAACCATCCTCCACCAGATATATCTAATATCATCACAATTTCATCACAAACATTGGCCTTCACCTTACTCGAACATCCTATTACATAACACGTAAGCTTGGTTCCATCAATCAACTAACTGTGTCATGCAACAATTATCTGTAATATAAATACTGCTTACCAATTTGCAACAATATTTGATTTCATAACCAAGCGCGAAACCAATTGTTGTGTGGCAGTTTGTATGTTTATCAACAGAATGTGTTCATTGCTACCATAAAGGGTTAAATCAGATTTCTTGGCTTCTTCTGCAGAAGCATAACTTCTCACATAACATTCTTTTGCAGATTCACCTTTTTATCATATAACAGTCGCTGGCTCCAGAGATTTTTAAATTGGACTCTAAGAAAACACCAATGCAAACGCGACAATCACGACAGGATGACACTAATGAGTATGAAACTAAAGTTCAAAGCATTACATATCGTAAGTCAGTCTTGATGGCGCTACTGTTGCTTATTATATTATGTTTTTTAACCCATTCTGATCTGCTCTTTTTAGGGAAAAAGCCCAGGAAGTCTTCAGGTTGGGATATACAGACAAAGATATTAAGTAGTTGCATCTGACCTTGGAAAGCTTACGTTTTGATAATAAATGATGTTGGGAATAAATAATAGGAAACAAGGTTAACTGACTGTCTGTATCTGCAACTTCTCCATTACCTGTCAACAGCTCCACACCAGTCACTACTTCTACACCTGCCATCACTTCTATACAGGCTATCACTTCTATGCCAATAGCCATTTCCTCTAAACACTGCAAATCTGCAGCAGCCGTTCCTGCACTCTCATCCACCACTATGCCATCTGTTGCCACATCATCTGCTTCTACATTGTCTGCTTCTACATCATCAGCTGTTAGATCGTCTTCTGCTGCATCAGTTACTACTATGTCTAAGCTCAAATCCAAACCCACATGTAAACCCACCAACAAACTCACCCCTGAACCCTCCCTTTCAAGATCTAATTCTTTCAATATCTATTCATTAAGGTCATCTTCATTCAATGAATTATATGCATCAGATGATGACTTTTCAGACATTCATAATCCAGCTGCTACCACATTTAGTCAAAAGGATATTACTGACACTGCTTTCTGAAACTCAGCCTCTCATCACCCATTTTTTAAAGAGAATGTGACAATTTATGAGGCAGCTGGTTGGCTGTCTGAACTGGAGCAGACTTCACTGCTCGAGCTGGCAAGTAAGTTTGCTGTTGCCAAATCAACAACACTAGCAACAACAACAACAACAACAACAACATCATCATCATCATCATCATTGACATCAGCAACAACAACACCAGCAACACAGATGCTGGCATTTGAGAATGTACATATTATTATTATAATGCAGCAAATATAATCTGATAGTATACTTACTGATTACTTTACTGGTAGGAATTGTTAGACAAACTAACAACGGAACTGAAGGCATTGTTTTTGAAATGCTGAAATAATTCTGACGAATTATATATGCATGTAATAACAAAGATATATAATATTGATATTCATACAGCAAGGAGGAAAGGAATATTCTCGAAGGCTGGGAGGGTGTTTAGTGACTTTAGGGATAAGTTTAACAAGGCATTGAGAACGTTGGTAAAAAATTATAATAATCTGGCTGAGGAGGTGGAGGTATCTGAGTTTATTGATGATAATGTGTGGCAGTTAGTGCTGTCCTCACACCTGGATGCCACAAAGAAAATGGAGCTTATGGACGACCACCACATATTGTTCAAACTAAGGGAGTTTGTTCAAGCAGCATTTGCAATTCACCTTCATGGTGAAAGTGATGCTTCCTTGGCAGTGAAGGGGCTGGATTATATTACTATCAATTTAAAAATCCCAACACAATTGAATATAGTAAGCGAGATGGATGTGAGGAAGTTGCTCAAGTGCAGGGGGAATAAAAATTCTCGATACAGATGTTTAGCAGAGGATCAAACTACTCATACAGAAGAATTTCCTTTCATT